GTTATACATATACATATGTTCCCACATCTCTTCCCTCTTGTGTCTCCCTCCCTCCCACCCTCCCTATCCCACCCCTCTAGGTGATCACAGAGCACTGAGCTGATCTCCCTGTGCTATGTGGCTGCTTCCCACTAGCTATCTATTCTACGTTTGGTAGTGTATATATGTCCATGCCACTCTCTCACTTTGTCCCAGCTTACCCTTCCCCCTCCCCATATCCTCAAGTCCATTCTCTAGTAGGTCTGTGTCTTTATTCCCATCTTACCCCTAGGTTCTTCATGACCTTTTTTTTTTTCTTAGATTCCATATATATGTGTTAGCATACGGTATTTGTTTTTCTCTTTCTGACTTACTTCACTCTGTATGACAGTCTCTAGCTCCATCCACCTCACTACAAATATCTCAATTTCGTTTCTTTTTATGGCTGAGTAATATTCCATTGTATATATGTGCCACATCTTTATCCATTCATCCGATGATGGACACTTAGGTTGCTTCCATGTCCTGGCTATTGTAAATAGAGCTGCAATGAACATTTTGGTACATGACTCTTTTTGAATTATGGTTTGCTCAGGGTATACGCCCAGTAGTGGGATTGCTGGGTCATATGGTAGTTCTATTTTCAGTTTTTTAAGGAACCTCCATACTGTTCTCCATAGTGGCTGTATCAATTTATGTTCCCACCAACAGTGCAAGAGTGTGGAGGGATTTGTCTTTAATGGATGACAAGTTAATGTGTCATCAGCGTCTGCAGTTGTGGTAGGGCTGCTAAAAGGAATAACAAATGTTTTGTGTTTCGCTTTCTACTTTACTGATACATTAACGTGTCTGTTAAACAGGGTTTTTTGTTTCAATCTTGTAAAACTAAACGAACCCTCTGGAGAATTCTGCTGTGTGACACTCAGCTTCTTCCCCAGAACTTTTCAGCTGATGAATTTTCTTAGATTTTCGGTGCACCTTTGTCTTTGAGTTTTCCAGGAAGAAGATAGAATTCTCTAGCAAGAAAATCTGTACAGTGTAGTCACTAACCCAAAAAACTGACAGCAAGCCTATGTAACTAGAAGGATTGATCAATGTATGTGCCTGGATCCCAAATCATGAACTGATGGACTGACAGAATCCCCTCGCCACATTAGAACTTGCTCTTTGTATCCTAATATCATCTATCTGTATTACACTCTTTCCCCGGAAACTCAGACAATTAATACCTTTAACGTATTTGGAAGTAAAGCAGATGTTACTTTTGCCCTTATTTTATACCGAAGGCTGCTAAGGCACAGAAAGCCACACAGCAAGTTACTCAAGGAGTAAAACAAGGACATCTGACCCATTACCATCTACTTAATCCAACATATATGAAATTACTCATTAGCATTAAATGCACCAAGCTGCTCTCTCCTGTCTTGACTTATGTTACTGTTTCTGGTCCAGAGGTCTATTTTTGTGCTTGTCTGGCCACCTGAGAAGTTTGTTTGGTTGTGAGCAAAAAGGACGTTTCTGAGCACCCCGTGCTGTGGGTCCACATTATCCTTGGCCGCTCTTCAGATTCTGTCTGGTTCCTGTTCCCATTTCAAATCCTCTCTTTTATTGGTGACCAAGATGTAACACTGTGCCTACTTTTGTTCTCGTCTGAAAAATAAGTCAATAGAGAGAGTGATTCTTTCAGTGTGTGACTGTGTGTGTGTGTGTGTGTGTGTGTGTGTGTGTGTGTGTGTGTGTGTTTTGCAGGACGTCAGAGAAAGGGAACTGCAGTGTTTCTGAACCATTTCAATTTCTAAAGCTCTCCCCACCCCCAGCATCTTCAGGCTTTAATGTGCTCTTTGCAAATCATCATTTTTTGATGACCAAGGATCCCTTCAGAATTGGTGTAGTGGGGTGGGTAGCAAACCAAAAACTAGAAAAAAATTCAAGCAATGGACACACATCTAAGAAAATCAACCTATGGATCCTGGGAGACTAGCAGCCTGAGATAATCCCTTCCAGCCTGGGCTTTCTCATGCAAGATTTTGCCTGTTGTCCTAACAGGCCTTAGGAAACTTGGGATGATTACTTACCTGGTCACTCACCTGCTGTGTGATCTTGAACAAGCTACTTATTATCTCTAAGTTTCCATTCTCTCATCTGTAAAATGGAGAAAATATCTCCCTTGTAAAACCGTGAGGAACGAAACTCTGTAAAATCCATGGCGTTGAATACAGCGCATAGCACAGTGCCTGGTGCACTATACACATTTTTAAATGAGACCTACAGTAACAATGGTAAGAAGTATCATGTTTGTTAGCTGTCTAGGGAAGAATGCTCATTCTTCTGTGAAAAGGGTTTGTAAATACATATACTTGATTCGTGCTCTCACCTATTCCTCTCATAGTTCTCCCTCTTTTAGCTCTTTTTAAATTGCCCAGCTGCCTGTGTTTATGGAGTCCCTTCTCCTGGAAAACCATACAGAAAGTTATCAGATAAAACAAATTTTTGCTTATTCTTCTGGGGCACAGAGCTATGGGAGATAGATATCCTTAATATGGAAAAATGAACTGCTATTGAAAATCAGTGGACAGGATTTGGGGAAGGTAAAATCCTCCCTTACGCCCTTTAGTTTGCAAAGATGGGTAACCAGCTCCTCGGCTAAGAATAGTTTCTGAGCACCACTCACCATCTGCCCCCTACCTGTCTCCACAGCCACCACCCCATCGCCCTGTCTTCTTCCCTTACTCTACAGCCCTGGCACACACTAGGCTCTCTCATGTTATGCCTTTGCATATGCTGGTCCCTCTGCCTGGAATGCCCGACCCTCATCCCGATAATTCCTAGATGTCCTTGAAGATTCAGCTTAGATAACTTCTATGAACTTTCCATGGCATTGTCCCCAAGGCAACCTCATTGTTAGACTCTGGGAGCGGATGGAGCGTGGGACTCACACTGCAATTTAGGAGAATGGTCCCTTTGGAGAAGCACTCTGCACAGTCTGCAGGACCATCCCTAGTTCTCCCATGCCCTGTCCACCAGCCCACCTCTCCTATGTACTCCATTAGCCTTATGATGAAAATGTTTATCCCACTGTTTTAATCATTCGCTTGACGTCTTTCCTCCTAGACTGTGAGTTTCTTGAGGAGGCGTGTGCGTTCTGTTTCTGTTTTTCCAATACGTTGCAGCACGCCCTTAACCCCCGATTGATAGCCTGATTAGTGGCTCCAGAAGAGAACTTGGTAGAAGCCCCTTCCAGGTGCTGCTTTTGGGGAGCCCCCTCACGGTTCAGTGATGGGTGGCTCGCAGTCTAGTAGGAAAGTGTGAGAGGTGACAAGGGCTATATGATGATAAAGGTAGGCTCATAAGAATCAGATCCTAGGCTAGGACAATGGTGGAGAAAGTTTGGTTTCTAGTACCATCTTGAGACTCACTCACGTCCCTTTGGCCTTCAAATGGAGTCGATGTCTGTGTATCCCAAGGTGAGAAACCCTTTTCTAAACTCTCTGTTGCTGATTTCTCACACTTCCTTTGGCTTACTGCTTAAAGTTTCAAAGCTTGCTGCACAGCACATCCTTTTTATCTTTAGAGCAGAAATTCCCTCCAGAAGGCCAAGGATACTGGAGCCTATATTTAGAGAGTACTTAATATGGGTCAGATGAAGGCCTGACTATGCCTAGAGTCATGCTGCTTGAAGCCATTCTAATATTCATTTAGTTAGAACCGTAACTGCGCTGAGTTATGGCTGGTCTCCTACGGATCATATATTCACAGTCAGTGCTTGGCTTAGACAAGAAGATGTGTATTACCTCTGCTGTTGCCCATCATGTCTTTTCATTTCATTATGACTATTGTGCTTGGAAACATGATTTTCAATCTGTAATCCCAGTTAAATTCTTTCAACACAGTGTATACATTTAAGTGCCTAGTTTTCTTTAAAGCAGACTTTGGTGAAACTGATATCCATTATCTGCTATCTGTGTCCTCCAAGACACATTTTGCACATTTTGATCTAAGAAGGAAGAGATAATTTTTTACATGAATGGTTGTCGTAACCTGGCATATATTTTTGACTGACACGATAGCAGCAGAAGTTCTAGAAAGGATTACGGTTCTGAAGGACAACTTTTTAATTTGAACATCAGTTAAAGTGCTCTGTCACATCTCCGTTGAATTTGTGGCCCCCAACCTCAATGGTCTCCCTTATTATACTCCTGCCATGTTTACAGGCAAGTGTAACTAAGTAAAAAGAATTAAAAGAGGACAGTATAATTTCACCAAAGGAACATAAGGGTGAATTGCTGAAAACCACAAAAAGCGATACCATTTAGATCAGCTCCAAAATGAATGCTGCCCACTCTCTGAAGGACAGCAGGGCCATGGTCTCCATGCATGAGGGGTAAGGATATTCTCCATACGAAGCATTACAGAAAACTGAGAATGAGGAACTAACATTTGTGAGAGCCAAAATAAGGAAAAAAGTGAGAAAATTTGGGAATTACTTCTAAGTCAAAGCCAAGGAAGACAATTTCAGCAAAGATTTTCCAGTGGTGATCGACACATTTTCAAGAACGGGGCTAGAGAAAACGAGGAGATGTTGAGAACTGATGACTTCATCAGAATCAAGCAAACCAAAACTTAGACTTGAGAAAAATGGAAGATATGAGGCCATGGGTGACATTTTCCTGGTTGAAAGAAGACTTCAGCATCAGAAAGTATTGATATTTAACTTCAAAGAAGGCCTCTTGTGAAGAGGGGGAATCTTTTTTAAAATTACGAATATTCAGTTTCCTTCATGGTTCATCTATAGTTTATAATGTATTTGCTAATACCATGGAGCTATGAATATCTGTAAACAACTCCTATCAAGGGAAGAAAGGTAGAATGCTTGTGTCAGGGAGTTGTCAATACTGATGGAAATGAATGCCTGTGTTTATTTTAATCAGCATGGGTAATCCTTATACCCTTATTATGTTTATTTGAGGATGTGAAATGACTAAGTAAATCTGAATGACAACTGTACTTTGATTTTGCAGAGTTAAGAGGAAGATTTATGAGACATGGACCCTTGTATCAGATTTGGAGAAAAGTAGAGTGAATACAGAGGTGCCAGACGGCCACTGAGACCCATGGACAGTCCTGTACTCACGCTTCTCTGTCGAACTTTAAGATTTACTAGTAATATGCCACCTTTGCCAAATGAAAAGAAACTAATGCCGAGAAGGCATACTCTTCAATATTGGGAATAGACGTGCTCTCAAGACAATGGCTTCAAAGGTCTCCTGTTTATACGTTTTGACAGTCGTGTGCTGGGCCAGCGCTCTCTGGTACTTGAGTGTCACTCGCCCTACTTCTTCCTACACTGGCTCCAAGCCATTCAGCCATCTAACAGTTGCCAGGAAAAACTTCACCTTTGGCAACATAAGAACTCGACCTATAAACCCCCATTCTTTTGAATTTCTTATAAATGAGCCCAACAAGTGTGAGAAAAACATTCCTTTCCTCGTTATCCTCATCAGCACCACCCATAAAGAATTCGATGCCCGGCAGGCGATCCGAGAGACCTGGGGGGATGAGAACAACTTTAAAGGGATCAAGATAGCCACTCTCTTCCTCCTGGGCAAGAACGCTGATCCCGTTCTCAATCAGATGGTGGAGCAAGAAAGCCAGATCTTTCACGACATTATCGTGGAGGACTTCATTGATTCCTACCATAACCTTACCCTCAAAACCTTAATGGGGATGAGGTGGGTGGCCACTTTTTGTTCAAAAGCCAAGTACGTCATGAAAACAGACAGCGACATTTTTGTCAACATGGACAACCTTATTTATAAACTACTAAAACCGTCCACCAAGCCAAGAAGAAGGTATTTTACTGGCTATGTCATCAACGGAGGGCCAATCCGAGACGTCCGCAGTAAGTGGTATATGCCTAGGGATTTGTACCCTGACAGTAACTACCCACCCTTCTGCTCGGGGACCGGCTATATCTTTTCAGCTGATGTGGCTGAACTCATTTACAAGACCTCCCTCCACACCAGGCTGCTTCACCTGGAAGATGTATATGTGGGACTGTGTCTTCGAAAGCTGGGCATCCATCCTTTCCAGAACAGTGGCTTCAATCACTGGAAAATGGCCTACAGTTTGTGTAGGTATCGCCGAGTTATCACCGTGCATCAGATCTCTCCAGAAGAAATGCACAGAATCTGGAATGACATGTCAAGCAAGAAACATCTCAGATGTTAGGATTTTTACCAATGTAAATACGTTTCTTTTCTTTTTTAAGAAATGAGGCCTAGGGTGTAGGTATTTTACAGGTGTCACCAGAGGAAATGAACTGGTGAAGGGGTTTTGTAAAAAGTGTTTTTCTTCCCACTCCTAGTTCCTTTCTTGGATTGCCAATTTACGCGTGTTAAGCTCTGCTCATAGAAATAATACATGCGTTAAAAGCACCAGATTTCATTCTCAGGTCCTGAAGTATTGCATTTATCTCAAAAAGCAACTTCCTAACAACTGCTAGGATTTACATACTGTGCATCTGAGATAAAAATCTGGTTCTGGGAAACTAGAACTCACGGTAATGTCTTCATATCCTCTCCGCAAAAGTAAATAAGTAAATAACACTTTTTCAAAAACAATTCAGAAATAATGCACAGTCAGGGAGACACACTGGATGTGATTATTAATATTGTGTGTGCTGTTACATTGAATTTCTACATATATTGCCATGTAATGTGTACAGTATTTGCAGTTCCACTAAGAAATGAACTTAGGACTGGCAGGGAGGCTGCAGTTAAATAAATGGGAATTTAAACTTGAGAATTAAATATTCTGTATGTTTGGAAGACAACTCTGCTTGCTCATCCAAGGATTAAACCTGGTCAGCGGGTAGAATGTATATAAAATGCTACGTAACAAAATAAACTGGAGAATTTTTTTTTCCTGCTCTTTCAGAACAAACATTACCTCCAAGGAGATTTTGCCAAATGTAATCTCACCTGCTTCCCTCCATACAGTGTCACTAAATACACTTCACACTTTCTGGCTCAGGCAGATACATGTATAGAAATAAGTTGGTAGGAGGCCAGAAGGACAGTATATCACATGGAGAAAAATATAAATTTATGTGTGCGTTACAATTAACAAAAGCTTGGCACTAGTGTCAGATGCCCCTTCCGTACCTTTGCAAAGCACATGAGAAACTATTTGAACAGGGAGCAATGTTACTGAAGGATTTAGCCCTGCTGTTGATAGATGTAATCTCTCTCACATCTGAAACATCCAAGTACCTCTAACAGCAATGCTGTTTGGGGGTGTTCTGCAAGCTCTGTTATTGAGGTTTATAGGAAGGAAGGGTGGGGAAGCTTGGGTTCAGGTTCTATTGCTGCCATCGTGTGGGTCACTTAAGCAGGCATCCTCACTTTGCTGTGCTTCCGTTTGCTCATTTATAAAACGGCTGGAAAAAACACCTACCTCGCAGGTGCTGTGAGAGAAAATCACATTTGCTAAGTATTTTGGGATCCTTGGTTTAAAAGGTGCTACATAATGCAGTGTATCATGCATTATGCTAAATGCTAAAATAATTACATAATTACAATGATGGTCATCACTAGTAACATCATCTTAACAAAATATCTGTCAAAATACAGATCAGATATGAACTATCAGTGCACCTGATTCTTCTAAGATTTTGACTTTTCCTTCAATATGTTAGGTGTTTGGAGAAGTTTCCATTTCTCTGTCATTTCTTCAGGTTTCAATGAATAAGTTACTACTTCAGTGAATTGCCTTGATATCCCAGGCTGCTGAAAGGGAAGGCAGCTGCCTTTCTTTGGGGAGGAGCCTCTGGCTGGGGGTATATTACAGTCATTGAAGCACACGCTTTGCAAAATGTATCACATCAACTTAGATCTCAGGAAACATTTGATCTGAATTCTCAGTAAGAACTTTGAGGCCTGGTAGAGCTAGTCCACCTCTGGCAGAAGAAGAATAGACACTCAGCAAACCCACACATTGCACACTTCTACCATTCATTAGAAAACTTCTGTTTTCACTCAGAGAAAGCTCCCCAACTCAAAGAGTGTACCTTTTTTTTTTTAACCTGACCTTTGCAAGCCCCCCTAGGAGTTGATAGCAAACAAGTAGATGAAATGTACGAATGGAAGTCATGGCTTATATCTTGAAAACACCGGATCTCTTATCTCCAGCCCAAGAGAACCCAATAGCAGATAGGCCTTTCCTTCCCTTAATACGTCGTCATCTCAAGTCAGCAGGACTGCTGAGTTAAATTAGAAAATAGCATTAGGTATCCTGGAGAAAGATGGATCAGCATAAGGTGAGCCACCCTCCAACCCCCAACTCTCAACTGCTGTGCATTCCAATCGCTGGAGAAGTCTCATGACTTTGAACTTGGTTTGCCTGTCAATCATGTAGTCGAGTCAAGGCTCAGTGTCATACCAACATCTTGCGTCTACCTTATGCTCAGTCGAGCCACTTTCGGTGTCAAGGAATTGCACAGTATAAACATCATATGTGTACATCTGCGAGTCGTTTTATATGTCTGTGTGTGAGTAAATTATGAATAGAGCCCTCATCTTTAAAAGGGGCAAAAATCAGAGAATCATGTCTTACAGAACTATTTCCTAACTTTTTTATGCTAGATAGTACCCATGTGACAAACATATAAATATTCATCAAAGACCATATGTATATATTTTTCAAGGCATTTTTTTTCTTCTCCCCAGCTGTACGTATTGCTAGAAGCGGCTTGCTATGTACATTTTCTTCTGCATGGAGCTTGGTGAGGCAAGGCCACTTGTCCGGTGTTTCAATAGCCTAAAGCATGTTTGCCCTTTGTTTTTTGAATGTTCCAAAAACGTTTAAGTCAAGCGATGAGGAAAAAGCTCTAATTTTCTACTTTTGTTAATTTCATGACACTGGCCAAATAGTGATTTGTTAAGCCATTTTTTAATTGATTATCAGTTCTTTGACATAAAATAGTGTTTCGGATAGCATTTTACCAGGAGTCATTCAGACAATTTTTACAAAAACCTGCTGACTGTCCCTCTGCCTGTTTTGTTCATTATGCCTTGGATAACAAAAGGTATCAATACTTCGTGTCTGTACTCTTAAATTTTCATTTAAAGTTTTATTTTGGGGGAAAAAAAAAAGCTTTTTATCTTTGGTGACTAGTTTGCGTGGCTTTGTGTCTCTTGTATTGGAGCAAATGCCAGTTTCAATATATATTATTGTATTTTTATTGTATTTTTAAATAACCAGAATTAAAAAATGAAGGTCATTTTCAATTTGGAATAAATTCAGAAGAACAAAACCCCTTTGTGTGATATGATATGGGGAAAAGAAACTCTTTACAGAGAAGCTAAGGAAGGAGTTTTTTCAATCAAAGCTCTTCTATCAAAAGACAATGGAATATTTACATAAAGCATCTGGGATTCATTTTCTACCTTTCCTAATATGTGGGTTTAGGGGGGATTGATTATGTCATTTCTTCTGTAAAGGTGAAGATAGTTTTTATAAGCAACAGAGTAACTTGTGAATGAAAGAAGTAATTTACTAGAAACGCTTGATGATAATTGAAATTTAGGCATATTGTTATATATGAATGATTGTATTTATGTATTTATTTGTCAAAATTGTACATACTATTTCATCCACCGTACTTGTCTGTAAAAGTGCACTCTCCAGGTTTGTAGTACTACTTAGGGTTACATGGGTTGCCAGTCAAGCTGCTAACCAGAATACTATTTTTTGTATCAATGTTATAAAACTGAAAAATGACAAATAGATGCTGAAAATGTCTTTACATTCAGTTTCTTCACCTTCCTCGTGAAGTGTAAACTGTTGATTGAAAGCACGATGCTAATGTATAAGCCCATCTGTCATGAGGAAGATTATGGTTCCCTAAAGCTGATTTTTTAAACCACTGGGACAAATAAACAGAAGGAGAACATATTTTCCACTTGGCTCTTTTCTGAAAGGATCTCTTTGGTGAGATGTGATTACTGAAATTAGCTGATGCTCTGTCGTATTATTAACCTTCCCCATAACCTCAGTATAGGTGACAGTTCAAACCATTTGGAGCTCATCCGCAAGAGCCCAGGGCCACTTAACAGTCAACTCAGAGATGACATGGTTTAGTAGACTATGGGCTACTCCAGGATTTAGGAAACTATTATCTCCCTTGCCCTTTGGCGGCCTCATGAAAGTCTCTGTGTTGAATTTTATGGGTGAACATGCCAAGAAATTCCAATCCAGAGAGCATTATACTGATAATGTATGGTGAACTAGGATATGTCAAATCTAAGGCAAAAGTGTCATTCTTATGTTTCACCCACATGTATCCTTTGGAATACTTCATACTCTTTTAAAAGTTTGATGGGACTGGAAAAGTGCTATTCAGGCATTCTTTACAGCTGACAAGTAGATGCTGATTGCTGATGCCTCACTTTGCAAGCAAGAGACTAATAGCTCTTTAAGAGACAAAAGTTCCTTTCATTATCAATCTGATCTAGCTAAATAGGTCTTCACTTTTTAATGGATATTAAACTTTGGATCTACTAACCCTGTACCTCGGAGTTCAAAAGGTGAAGTCCATCAGGTAAGCTGAAACGTGAGTAGAACGATGAAAACATGAAATAGATTTGTATTCAATGTGACTTTTTAAAAGGACCGACATCAAGAGCAGTGTTCTAAAAGTATGGTCTCAGACGGGGAACATCAGTGTCAAGTGGGAATTTATTAGAAACGCAAATTCTTAGGCTCCACCAGAAACTTGGGGGTGTGGCTCAGCGTTCTATTTTAACAAGCCCTTTACGTGATTTTCTTGCCCCTTAAAGTTGAGAACACTGATCAGGAGCAGGGGTTGGCAAACCACACTCTGAACCACATCTTTCTAAGAATGGATTCACAATGAACATTTGCAATGACTTAAAGATAGGAGACACTAACGTTTAATTCCGACTAAGCAAAATATTATCCCAACAGGAAGAATTCTGCTTTTCTCATTAGTAGATGTGTATTGCAAAAAACAAAATTGTACTTAATTATTATTTTATTATATTTTGAACCCATCGATACAGAAACTGCCAACATTTGTACTTTCCTGTATCTTCAACTTTGCCTGTTGGCCTGCAAGCTTAAAATATTTATTATCTGGTCCTTTACAGGAAAAGTTTGCCAACCGCTGATTTAGAGAAACAGGAAAACATCTGAAGAAGCTGCTACATATGAAATTCCTCCACTTGTCAATGAAAAGTCACATCAGTAAAGCATCCTGGAATTGTCTCCATGCAACCAGGGAGATGACAATAGAGTTATGATAATGAATTGCATTAAAAACCGACAGCTGCATATATTTTTAAACTATTTCATTTGTCTCTCTCATAGTGATTTTTTTAAATGATAAAAGCTTGATTCTAATTGTAACAATTACCCAAAGCTTAATTAATATATTGCTTAAAGATGTGTGGGTAGTAGACCTAAGAGGGTGGGTTTCATATATAGCTCGATTATCATAATTACAAGCATTCTATTTTCTCATTTACTTAATTGATTGTTATAGCTTTCCAGATGAATTCATGCTGCTGAAAGAGAATTGAATACATTGCTGAGAGGAAAAAAAACAGAAATGGGGCTGTTTAGAAAAGCAAGGTGTCCCAGAATATAATCTATGTGAGCATGAAAAATTGCCCTCGATAATATTCCCTTACCTCTTTGGTTAAAAGAGGCATTTTTGTGAAATGAAAAAGAAATGAATGAACAAGTATTACTGATTCAACTACATGTACAATAACAGAGGCTCCACTGTCTCTTCAGCCAGAGGTGCCTAGCACTCAAGAAGAATTTTCCATTTAGTTTTCCTTATAGAATCTATTAGTTTGGTACACTGTGTCAACTGTTTGTTATGCCTCTTGCAATGACCTCAGTCCTCACCTGGAGGGAGCATGGCATGAGAGGTGATTTATTCTCTCTCTGAGGTTTATTCCAGAGCACTTCCTCAGCAGTGGCTGCCTGATATGGCAGGCTGGG